TTCTCTATGAATGGTGATTATAAATTGTTTTTTTTTAGGTTATTTCAAACTGTATTGTATGATTACATCCGTGAGTGTACGCCAGAAGACAGGGTAGAGCTCATTTCAACTTTAAGCCCACTAATTGTGCCTCTCAGCAACTCACTGCCGGGTGTCAACACAGCCAGTATATGTGTGTGGCAAGGAACAAACAAAGACAAAAAGGTAAAAATAATCGAGTATTATGAGGGTCAGCTGCTTAACAGATATGTGGTTTGAAATATCAATGACCAGCATATATTGTCCTCCAGGCAGAATTTGATCACATTGTTCTGTCTCAACAGAGACTAACCATCTGTGTAGGAAATGATTATAGAGCTAAGCACAGGTGCACTCTCTATTCCCTAACTCTCTAGGTCCGATCGTACGGCAATAGGACACGAGAGCATTCAGGCGCAGGACTCAGGACTAAAAGCTTTATGTGCTTTCTGAAGCCTGGGGGTGCAACGTTGCCAATTTCCTGGCTTCGGGCTGCTACTGAGAATTTCAAAGCAGAAAACCCAGTAACTCCCGGGATTCAAACCGGATTTTGATCCGACCACATATTCAGCAGTAGCATTTACAACCCCTAGACTAAGGAGGTAGTCAACATGGGCTGTCTGACTAGACTAAGACTTCTACTTTTATTTGAAATTATCCCAAATTTAATGTGATTTATGGGTAACAACGTTTTTGCCTACCAATCGATCCTTAAACATGTGTGCGTGTGCAGTAAAATCAGTCAAAATAATACATTACCATGCATTTCGAATTTTAATTTTTCTTCACCATTTGCCTATATTACTTATTATGAACCTACTCAACAAATTTGGCCGGTTATTGCAAAATAACCCTGTATATTAAAATACAGGCTATTCTATCATTTTTGCATTAACATGTAGTGCATCATCAAACTGTCACACTTGTATTTAACTCGTATTTAAAATTATTTTTTATAAATTTCAGACAATATTGAAAGTGGTGAAAGAGCATGTTGTGTCTCTATGCAAACACAAAACTGCATATCGTCTACTTATAACAATATTCGACGCTGTCGATGATACTGTTTTAGTAAAGAAAGCCATCATATCTACATTAGCTAGCAATTTGAAAGATGTTGCAAAAGATCATTGGGGTAAAATGGTAAGATAGAAATTTATTTGTTGAAAAACACAATGTAGTGTCAAAAACAGTTGGCTTCCAAAGTAAGTAAGAGTGCAACGAAACCGGCGGAGTTAACGAACCTCATCGCTACAGTCCCGGCACTATCGCTCTATTTGAGATTCGTCGCTACCAGAAGAGCACTGAGCTCCTCATTTGGAGCGTAAGACCGATCTCTGTTTCCATAGATCTGCCGCAATGGACCTTCAAGGGCTAGCGAAACTTAACTAGCGTTACAAACGAAAGACATCCAGTTGGCACGCAGTATTCGTGGATAACAAGCTATACATCTCTTCCGATTGAAATAAATATAAATGTAAATAGCACTGGCCCCTAGACTTGCTTTCCTGTAGGCCTCCTCTCACTTCTGAGAGGGTTTTAGGGCAAGGAAATGTCCGCCGCGGTGCCCCAATGCGTGTTGGCAGACTTCATGTCTTTGAAATATTTTTTCCTCAGATATGCGGGTTTCCTCACGATGTTTTCCTTCACCGCCGAGCATGAGGAAAATCAGCAATTAACAATTTCATTGGTGCCGGGCAGTATAAATCACTCTCAATATTAGGGTTCCACTTAGTTATTATTAAACTAATTGAAAGAAATAAAATGTTTATTTCGCCACATTATGACAATGCTATATTGTACATAATGTTTATTAAATAATATGACGTTTCCAACGAGACGAAAGGAGCTCGCGCTCAGTATTTGACGTGGCGAACTAGCTATTGTTAATCTGGGTGGCCCGTTTCGTCCCTTTCGAGTAGTTCGAGCTGTTGTGTTAGAAATGAATGAAATACTTCAGGAGTTCTATTGCTCAGTATGACTTTTTAAGTTCTTTTAAATTCTCCAATCTTTTTTATTATCTAAAATGATCATATAGCAGCATAATGCTGCTGTATGCTGTGGTGGGTTTGGATAGGCGAAAATGACTAAGTTTAGTATAACTTGTACTCTACATTAAATAAATAATATTTTGTGTTAATTTTTTTACTTATATAAATATATATATATATATATATATATATATATATATATATATATATATATATATATATATATATATATATATATTAACTATAATAAATATAAGATCATAGCAGAAAAATGTTTTTGTCATTCACTTTTTTTTACTTACCAACAGGGATCTTCTTCAGGGTAATTCTTATGTGCCCAAGGGCCCTGGTATGGCCTAAAACGGCGTTGGTCACGTTGTTTGTCCACGATTGGCTCCTAAACTACTTAACCGATTTTAATCAAATTTGCACACTGTGTGCATTGATCCAACTTGAGAGATAGGATAGTTTTTTTGCCCACAATTTTTTTTTGCGAATTTAAGGATTTTTAATAAAACATGACAAATTGTCGTCGAAAAAGGCAGTCAATGTCTGCTTGGCAAGCTAGTAATATATTATAATTATATAATAATAATTTATATTTAATATTTCTAGGTGTTGCACTGGCTTGTGAAACCCAAGGACCCGGCAGCTTTCCATCCCAGTTTCATAAAGTTCCTGGAAGATGGCGCCAAGAGCGGTACATCAAAAAAAGACGCCGAGCTTCGCGTTTCAGAGCTACGAGAAGCGATTCTTCCCGTTTTAAAGAAAGATATGGAATCAGAACCAGAGTTCTGGCTGAGTAATAAAGCTAACTTCCTGTTGACTGTCGCAGTGTTATCAATAGGTAATCTATACAAATAAATAAAACTGAAGTGTCTGTCAATCAAATCTGAAAATTAAAAATCGTAATTAAGGGAAAATATTAAAAATACTACCACAAATGACTTAGCAAGATTCCCCGTTATGCCGAAAATATTGCAGCATTAATTTTAAAATAAATATATGGTAAAATTGAGGATTAATGTTAAGTACTATGTTAGACGAAAACACGATTCCGTAAAATTTTCTCGATAGAAAAAAATCCAAAGTTACCTCCGAACTTAACAACAAACCGCTAATTCATTTTCAAATTCATAAAATACTTTAAATTAGATCATGAAACTGCAAACTAACTGAACTAACTATAAAGCAGAGCTTGTTTTTTTTTAATTACAATTATTTTCACTGTAAAAAGAATTTACCTAAACTATCGGTATCTTGAAACTTGTTTCCTGCCGCCCGATCAGTCTCGCTTCGGCCTTTGAAGGGGGAAACTGTGTCATTTACGATCAGAATACACATTACGCAACAGGACGACGTAAAATTAAAATGGGAAATAACCGTAATAAAAATAAGAAGCGACTGGGTTGGCGTAAAGAAACAGGCATAAATATGATAAACCTAACGAAATCAGACCTAACTGGAGAGGTCCAGCTGGAACTCCCTTCGGTTGGATCGAACAAACGGTTTTACGTACTTTCCGAGGCGTGAGGTTAAAACACCGCCAAACTCTCTGAATTGTTACTAAGAATTCCTTGATAGAAACAACCCAATAGCTGAATTTTGCCCAACCTAGGACACTTAAGTCAATATAACAAATAATTTACTAACTTTTAACTATTTTTGTTAACACTGATTCTTCAGTCCTGAATAGGAAGTACCGTAATGGGATATGGACTCTTGTATTGTAAGGATGCCTTTGACGCTTGTGGCGGCGCTGTCGTCGCGCCGCACGTGAAACACACCGAAGCCTAAATCTCGCTATCAAAGTTCCGAATCATAAACAGTATATATAGAACAGCTCCGAACTATCACGGACGCGGAGCGTTGGCCGCCGGGCAGAACACCTTACCCGGCGGGGATCTCCTCTTTTTCACGGCTACAGTGGTGACCAATAAACCAAAAATTAGTAATTGAGAATTTCATTTTATTTCCAGAAACATCAAAGGAAATTTTAGAAGCTTTATCTAAGGTCATATGTCAGTCGGATTGGGTCATTAAGATTGAAGATAAAGAAGTGCTGGCTGTGGAAGACGCGGGAATACACATGTGTCTTAAGAAACTTGCTTGTTTAGACAAAGGCAGGCCTGAAGGGACTTTGGGTGAAGTGATGTGTGACCATCTGAATGATGATGCTGTAAGTTATTTTAAATTTCAAGGTGTGAGACTCAGATTGTGGTCCTTTTATTCTAAATTTTTCATCATCTAATTAGCTTTTGTTTAAAAGATATGCTGAAGTCAATTGAATATCCAGTGACCAACCTTATTTAGAGTTTTAAAAAATCTATATAAATAAAATAATCGAGGTTTGCAGTAGTGCGCGCATCACAGAAAAATTACCTACTGAATAGATTTGAATTAGTTTTTCTAAGTTAAAATATTGCTATATCATCATTTAATATAAACTTATTACAGTTTTAAGAACGTGGACGAAGTCGCGGGTATCAACTAAGCAGCTAAGCAGCAGCTAGTAATACATAATTTTGTCAGGAATGACAGCTCTTATAAACTTAGTAACAATTTCTGAGAAAAATTGTTAGTCATTTCAGAGAAACCGATTACATATAAAAAATGTTTTTTTAATTTAGTTTTAATTCACCATTAGAGCTATTTAAATTTTAATAAATAAAACTAAATCGTTGCCTTTTTTATTGCAGATTCAAGTTTGGATACCAACTAATAGGGGATGTTTCTTTCTCCTAAAGTTGATTGAAAACAATGAAGAAGAGATAGCTAATAAACTTCTTAAGAAGATCAAAACACATTCAAATCTTATAAAACAACAGTCATCTGAAGGAGCTAAATTATTGTTACAGAAAATTCGAAAAAAATAAAACATAAGGAAAATTATAATTTATTATTTCACTTAACTACCATACGATTATTTAAACTATCACATCAAGTAGACACGAATGAATCACATGTCACATATATTTAGCTGCTTAAAAATTACTCGACCCAAATCTTGCCTATGGGTTTTAATCCAACACTGTTAATAACATTTAAAGATTTTTCTAATAATTCCTCCTCAATTGTTGTTATTGATCTGCAAGAGAAAGAACAAACTCAATAAAATTTTAATAGCTGATTAAAATATTAAGAATTTATAAATTTTAGCCTTTTTTTTTCATTGTGGGCTTTGCAACAAGGCCTTCAGTCAAAAAGAATACATTTTTCAGAATATGAATATACTAAAAATTTCTTCACACTATGTTGTTGATGCATAATATTATTGCGTATTTTTGGGACATGAACGTAAGTATCTCAAGTTTTCAAGGCGTCTAAGCAAACAAAATAACTTAAGGTTTCTTATTCTTAATATCACCATTGCAGCACTTATTTAATTGTTTCCACTAAATTGTTCAAAATCGCAACACTTGCGTATTATAATCCAGGTTTTTTTTAGAAATTTGAAGTGATTAAAAACATCAAAAAAAAAATGTCCACCTGATGGTAAATAGCTACTGTAGTACATAGGCACCTGGAGCCTTTAAACAAAAAGATGCGTTGATATCTCTGAGGACTAAGATGAAATGCCTGTATTTATATTGACTCTCTATTAACCTACTGTAGTACGGCTATTTGGCAGCAGAAATACGTAGAAGTACCCACCATTCCATTAGTGTCGTAAGAGGCGACAGAGGGAAACTAAAACGGGAAATGGAAAGTAGCATCTTCCTGATCATCATAAACACACGCTCGTCAGAGTTGCATTTGACACAATCATGACATACCTCTCTCGCCTCCCTTTACATACCTACGCATACATGCTCATGGATTAAGGGTACTCTTAATCCAGCCTATCTTCAAAATATCAACTCTGAATTTTATTACCTGAGTTGACTTGTAATCGCCTATACTCAGTCAGAGGGTTTTTTATAGGCTGTAATGAATGATGACTAACCAATATACAGTGTGTAAGTGTAAACACCGTTGTCACTGAAACCATAGTTGGTTGGCTTTAATATAAAAATATTTATCCGATTTTTTAAAAAAAAAACGCTATTTTCTTTTATAAAATTAAAAAAGTTTCTGTCCGACACCGTCCGTAAATTCATGGATACCCTATGCGCTCGAGTGACGTAATCACTGTAAAGATCACCGCCCGCCCTTGCTACCTACACAACATTTCAATATAAACACAATGGTATACATAACCTATCATGAAACTTTTCCTTCATACTTTCACACTTGCTTAGGACAGATAAAAATTCCTACCCTTTGTGTTGCGTGACGAGTCCAAATTAATGTAAGTTAGATTTAACAACAAAGAAAATTAAACATTAATAATAGTAAATTGTAAATCATTAGGTAGGATTTTTGACGTATTTACCGTATACCGTACCGCGGCCCTGGAACGCAAAGGGCATTTGAAGCATAAGCTGACCATTCATTGTACGGAAAGATCATACAAAGCGAGGCCAAGACAAAGGATTTGTACAGCTTGATGTGTAGCCTGATTGATTGGTTATTTACACTTACCAATTAAATAAAATCCTCGTAAATGAATTCCATTTTGATCAGCTTTTACATTAATCGTAAAAGCTAGAACCACAACAGTGTCATTTCTCTAAATACACTAAGAACTCTCCTTTTGAGTTCGGACGTATTACGGAACTTAGTTGCATACACTCGGCGCTTCACTTCTCCCCAAAGATAAAAGTCCAGCGGGGTAAGGTCGGTTCATCGCCCAGGAAACTCCTCAACCAGAATAGCCCTGATTTGCAGCTGAAAATGTGCAGGGGCACCGTCATGTTGGTAGTAGAGGTTTCTCAGTGAACGCAGAGGCACATTTCCACTGCACGTTTATGTAAGACATAATAACATAAAGCGACGTAGAATGTCGGCACTGCGCGGCGCGATTTTAAATCAAATTAATATGTACATTCCGTACTGACGCAGCGAAGGTGACTGACACACTGACACAGTGACATTGGCCTTGACCGCGAATCGCTGCCGCTACCTACGATATGTTGAGTTTTTTGTTGTGAATTCTGTAGGTATAATATCCCTACTTGCCTAGGGTGAAATAATTGTAAGAAAAAAATTGAGATTTGACTAAAAAAAAAATGTTGTTATTTTTCATTGAAATTACTTTCTATAAGTGAAACCAAACCACTGGTTTCAAGGACAACAGTGTTTACACTAACACCCTGTATAATTGTAATAATTGGTTTTCTGCCCGACCGGGGATTCGAACCCAGGCCCACATGATCAGCAATCGCATTTACTACCACAAGACCAACGAGGCAGTCAATGAATAAATATATTGATTAGATTATGATATTATAACATATACATTATAATCTTTTCTTTCAACTCACCTGCTGGCATCCAGAATTTCCCAGTTATCTTCTTTTAGTTGCTGGTACATTTCTGAAACTTTCTTTTGAAAGTCTGGGACTTCATACCTGCAAAAAATTTTGTTTATCATTATAAAATAATGTGCTCATATCTAAGTAGCGCAGGGGCTGCTGCACTACCACGCTACCATGCAGGTGAGAATCCAGCATGGGACAAGTGTGTAACGTCTGCAAATAATTATTACAGGTCTTGTTATTTGTTTATATGCAATGTATGTTTGTAAAACACTCCCTTACGGTACAGGGGAAGACATTAAAGAGGGGTAATCTATTTATGTCACCAAGCAGTAGTGCATGTTTGAAGCTTTGAAGTTGGTTGCGGGTCTCAATAGACTGCAGTAGACATTTACCAAGTAAACTGTAAGTTCGCTTGTGCATCAAGAATCAACGTGTGGTTGCGGCAAAAGAGAAGATTTATCACCTTATTTCGTTACAGTGTTGTAAGAGGTAGATATGGGAAATGCCAAAAATCTCATGGTCATTTTAAAGATCGATATAATCATCCCATTTAGGTTAACTGGCAAACTGAAATAATCGTCAAAAATTCGGACATCGTAATTACATCGAAAATCAACATGATATCTATGTGTCTCTCAGTCATTCTGAAAGATCGCTCCGTACTAGTTAATTTCGGACAGTGAACTAGTTCATTCTATTAGGTGCTCTTTTCGGTCATTACACTGACCGATTCTCGAGTTACGTTTACATTCGGTATGGACGTCTTGCGAGTGCAGGTGTACGAAAGGAGCTGTTAGACCGATTAACAATCAACATTCGGAAACGTTTCTTTTAGTACAGTGCCAAGATACATTTCCGTATCGTTCATCGTTCGCGAACTACACAAGACTAATCTACTACAGAGGCCTATGTTTTGCAACTGACTTTTAAGCTAATTAGAAGATGAATTTAGAAATCTTGTTAACTAGCATTTAAAATTAGAAAAATTATGATTATAGGACTTTCCTCTTTACTTACTTGTGTACGACAAATGACAACATTCATGTAAAAAAAATGAAAAAATCTTATAACGTTAAAACAACGCAAATGCGTATTTAAACATGACCAAGTGACTTTAAGCTAATTAGAAGATGAATTTAGAAACTTGTTAACTAGCATTTAAAATTAGAAAAATTATGATTATAGGACTTTCCTCTTTACTTACTTGTGTACGACAAATGACAACATTCATGTAAAAAAAATGAAAAAAATCTTATAACGTTAAAACAACGCAAATGCGTGTTTAAACATTACCGCTTGCCTTTCTATCACCAGAATCTTAACCCGGTTGAAATGGCATGGACACAGATCAAAGGTCACGTAGCAAGTAAAAACGTTTGGAATACACCCGCGTGACTGAACTAGTGAACGAAAAGGTATATATGATGGAAGAAGGTGAATGGGAAAAATTGTGCAGTAAAGTTAAAAGTATTGAAGAAGAAGACCGAAAAAATAACCATGTGGTCGATCTTATGACGGAAACATTTACGAGTATCATTCGCGTTGATGATGATGATACTTATGACGGAAGCTCAAGCGAAGATGAAAGTGATGATGAAGTAGCATCCAGTAACACCAACACACCATCGACATCTGGCTTCCATGTGACCCCAGACCATTTAATGGAAGGCCTTAGAAGAATTTTAAGACCAAAGTTAAAAATAATGCTTGAGCATTATTTTGAGGTTGGAGTTAAATAAGATGTTTACTTGAGTAAACACCTTATTTAACTCCAACCTCTAGAGAACCGGAGACCCTGGATATGAGGCATTCCATTTTGGTCCACAGGGGAGGCAACGCATTTTGATTCTTAATTGAGGATAGATGCAGATATTTATGGGTCACAGCAACCACTTACCATCTGTCGGTGGACTGTGTCTCACTTGTCACCCTTACTGTATATAAAAAGGGAGTCTCTTAGTTTCACAAAGCAGTACTTAAATAAATTGTTTTAAAGGGTGTTCCTTTTTATGAATTATTACTGTAATCATTCATAAAAAGCAAATCCTTTTAAATGGTCAGTGACAGAAATTAACGAAACAATGACATACATATTATTATGTTACTATGCTCAAAATACATGGTTTTATATGCTGAAGAAATGTGGAAAACGATTTCGTAAAATTCACTAGGAATATAATCTACATCATGAAAAGTTGTGATTATATACTGCTTATATCTCTATTTATATTTTTACATTGCTTTATTGTTCATAAAGTATAGGTAGTTAATAGTTATTTTATTTCGGACAATATTCTGTATATTTTATGAATATTACTTTACTTTTATTCTAAATATGCCGTGTTGTAGCGGCGTATAAAAATCCACTTTCCCATATCATCCAGTGAGTGTCATAAGACTCAGTCATAAGACAGCAACTCATTGGTAACAACTCAAAATAATAAAAAATACTGTGGTTACCAACCTGTATGATGATCATAGCATATTTGACAAATCATTAATCAATAGTAGACTTTGATAGGATGTAATGGATTAACAAGCATTTGCTTCAGTATAAACAAACATTAGTATCCACATACTAGCGTATAAAAGCATAAATAGGCAAAAGAAAGATACTTTCCTTTCATTTCCAAACCCGTTTCTTTGCTGTATTTTATCAAGAGGCATTGTAAGAAAGAATACCCTGTCAGGCATTGGCAGACCAGAATCTGGTGATTTGCACCAATTTAAATCTAAACCTACAAACAATTAATTATATGTAATACTCTATAACATTTTTGTGAATAATGTAATATTAACCTGTATAATTTAATTAAAATTAATTAAAAAAAAACTAGGATATTAATAATGCTGTCACCCGGGCAATGCTGCAGCTAAACATTATTGCGGTAGCAATGGTTCAGCTTCACAAAGGTAGATATGGCTTTTTCCCTTATTTTTTTTTTGAGATTTTTATGGAATTGACATGCAAATCCCATCATAACTTATAAACTAACACTAAAACTAAATAGTATAATTATGAGTACTAATTAAATTACTGTAAGTACTAAAAAGAGGCTTTCACTTATACTGAAGATGTGAAGATAATTATTCCGTCTTAGTAGCAAACCGGAATAACTCTCTTGACACCCTTGATTTGGGGTTTAAAAAATGTAAATGAGGCATTCCATCGCAGACCTCAGGGGTGATATAGCATCTGCATTTAGATTCTTAATTTATGTAAATAAAAAATGTAGATGTCTATGGGCTACAGCATCCACTTACCGTCAGGTAGACTGGGTGCTCGTTTGTTACCCTTATTCTATTAATACCCTTTGTATTAAAATCAACATCCAAAATATTTGCATAAAACACTACATCAACAAATGGTATACATCTTCAATTTTATTACATACATCACAATTTGGTGAAGGTTTTTTGCCTAATAAGAAAGCGAACATTGCTGATGGTATATAACCGGAATGAAGTCTGAGGGCTAACTTAAGAAAATTTCTGCTGAGTTCACAATCATTAAACCAAGGTAAGATAAGGCTTACTTTGTATAGTTCTACATCAGATGCCTTTCCATATTTTTAGATTTATTTATTTATGCCTTGCCATACTCGTATTTTTTATGCAGAGACAACTTCATTTACACGAAAATTTCGTTCACCACTGAAGAGTTGTTACCCGATCGTCACAAGGAAGTCAATATTATTTTTGTTGAAATATAGCTAAAACAAATCCAATATTTGTGGAGCCATTTCTGGACAATTTTATCATTAAGAGTTGCTCCTTCTCCATAAAATGATGCTATTCCAAATTTTTCCCAGTTTGTGCCTAGTTTTGGAAGTTATAAATGTATTGCTCCAGAGACTTCGGATTGTGCCTAGGTTAGTGCATTAACCTGTATGATCTTCAACAGATACTGTTTAGGGACACTAAGAATTAAAATCTGAGATAGATATCTGGATAGGCACTATGCTAGATGCTCTATAGGCATACAACCAATCACAATTCCAGACATTTCACACCCTTACTGCTGTTTCCCATTGCCTATCAGAATAATTTATGTCTAGCATATCATCATCATCATCATCATCACAGCCCTTCACAAGTCCACTGCTGAACATAGGCCTCCCCCAAGTAATGCCACAAAGCACGGTCCTGAGCCACCTGCATCCATCGACTTCCTGCATATCTTACCAGGTCGTCACTCCATCTAGTGGGGGGTCGCCCTACACTACGCCTACCGGTACGAGGCTGCCACTTGAGAACCTTTCTTCCCCATCGGTTATCGGTTCTTCGAGCTATATGGCCGGCCCATTGCCACTTCAGCTTACTAATCCGTTGGGCTATGTCGGTCAATCTGGTTTTACTGCGGATATCCTCATTTCTGAGTCTATCACGCAGAGAAACTCCGAGCATAGCCCTCTCCATAGCTCGCTGAGCGACCTTGAGCGTCCTTATACGGCCAGCAGTGAAGGACCACGTCTCTGATCCGTAAGTCATCACTGGCAACACGCACTGGTTGTACACTTTAGTTTTCAGAGATTGAGGTATACCTGACGAGAAGATATGTCGTAATTTCCCGAACGCTGCCCAGCCGAGTTGAATCCGTCGATTGACCTCTCGGTCGAAGTTGGACTTACCTAGTCCGACTATTTGTCCCAGGTAAACGTACTCGTCAACAACTTCGAGCATAGTGCTCCCAACAACTACCGGCATAGGTGTGACATGGACATTAAACATAATCTTTGTTTTGTCCATGTTCATCTTAAGACCTATCCGTTGGGAGGCACTATTGAGGTCATTGAGCATAGAGCTTAAGTCCTCCAGCGATTCTGCCATAAGGACTATATCGTCGGCAAATCGAAGGTGAGTGATGTACTCGCCATTGATGTTAATACCGTATCCTTTCCAGTCCAGTAGCTTGAAAACGTCTTCCAAAACAGCGGTGAAGAGTTTCGGGGATATAACGTCACCCTGTCTTACACCTCTCTGCAGTTGGATAGGTTTCGAGCTCTGGTTCTGTACTCGGATAGCCATCGTAGCCCTACTGTACAAACACTTCAGCACTTCGATATACCGACAGTCAACTTGGCACCGCTGAAGGGACTGCAGCACCGCCCAAATTTCGACGGAATCAAAGGCTTTCTCATAGTCCACATACGCCAGGCAAAGTGGCAAATTGTACTCTTCAGTCTTCTGTACAATCTGCCGCAGGGTATGTATGTGGTCTATGGTACTGAAGCCTTTTCGGAAACCGGCTTGTTCGGGAGGCTGGAAGTCGTCGAGTCTGCGTGCGAGACGATTCGTAATGACTCTCGAAAACAGCACGTAGACGCGGCTCAGAAGGGAAATCGGTCTGTAGTTCTTCAAGAGAGCGTTGTCGCCTTTCTTAAAGAACAAGACCACCGCACTTCTGCTCCACGCCTCTGGAGTAGTGCCACCATGGAGGACGGAATTGAAGAGCTTCTGAAGGACTTCAAGTACCGGTGTTCCACCCGCTTTCAGAAGCTCCGCTGTAATTCCATCCTCGCCTGGGGCCCTGCCGTTTTTAAGGTGCTGGAGAGCCATTCTAATCTCGCTTAGACTGACGTCCGGGATATCATCGGAATAGTGTCGGATAAGACTTGCTCTTGGATCGTTACTCACACTTGCGTGTGGCTCCAACGATGATGTGTACAGCTGCCCATAGAACCTCTCAATCTCACTCAAAATCTCAGGTGTCCCGGAAACGATGCTGCTACACTCAGTCTTCAGCCTTGACAGTTGGCTCTTTCTGGCAGACAGATCTCTGGCAAAGACTTTGGAGCCCTGGTTCCGCTCGATCGCTTCTTTAATACGAGCAGTATTAAAGTTGCGTAAGTCTCGCCGCATGCATTTGGAGATCTGTCTGTTCAGTTGCCTGTATGCTGTCAAATCTGTTGACGATTGCAGCCTCATCTCCCGTCTAACAGCCATGAGATTAAGAGTGTGATCGGAGAGTTTTTGTGTTCTTCTGCGGCGGGTCTTGCAGAACTTAGCTCCGACCGCATGGACAGTTTCCACGAGCTTGTCATTCATATCGTCCACTGCATTGCAATCTTGTCTAGCATATACATTTAGCTATTCCCAAAATCACTCTCTTTATCATTGGAATACACCAACTATCATTTGTTGGTTGAGATATCCTCAAACTTAAACTTTGGGAGGTTCATCAAGTCCAAGGCCAAAGCAGCTGCAAAGAAGCAAGGAGTCTTTGTAAAGTTGCGGCGATACTTCACGCCGGGAAAGCTGCTAACTCTATAAAAAGTCCGGTCGTGCATGGAGTATTGCTGCCACATATGGGCTGGTGCTGCAAAATGCCACCTAGCAGCTCTGGACTCAGTGTAAAAGGCGTGCACGAGGCTTATTAATGACCCGAATCTGGTTTAAACAAATCTTACCAGCCTCGAACACAGGCTCAGCAATTATATTACTTAATTCCTCCCTCTTCCTTCCACCATCGGACAACAAGATATTCGCCCAGTCTCCACCCTTTCATTGTTGGCTTACCCCCCCATTTGAACCGAAAGGTTTGCTACATTGTTCATCATGTGTAAAGCAAAGGAGTGGTATAACTTGCCAGCGACTGTTTTCCCATCCAATTACAATGGATGTCTTCAAGGCAAGAGTGAATAGGCTTTTCTTGAGTAAGTGCTCTTCATAATCTTTGGCTACATCACCACTTACCACCAGGTGGGATAGTAGTTGAGCGCTGGCTTAGAATAATAAAAAAAAATCAATTTGTAATTCCAACAAGATGTGGTGAGGCGATTCAGAATTTTCTTATGATTACACTACATTACGATAGGAATTTTCAATATATAGGTTTTGATTAAATAGTAAAAAAAAAAAACTATTGAATAGCTATATTTCTTTAAAACTTTTACCTTTTGCAGCAGAGAATGCTACACCAGAATAACAGTACCTATCCACAATGACACTGACTCCTTCTTCTAATGTTTTTATTATGCCTCTAGATTTCTCCCAACGATTTGCAGAGAAAAGCAGGTGGATAGTTTCATCTGACAAGTCATTCTGTAATATAATTTGTGTACCAAATTAATTATTTTAACACAACTTGCAAGGCTTGCCTAGTTGTGATAACATTATTAATGTTTTTTATATTAATACTAGCTGTTCCTCGCAACTTAGCATGTGAGGAATATACCACAATTGGATTTCAGAGGTATAAATGTTTTTGCATAGAACCCTAATTCTCTATCTAAAATAAAAGTAGCCTAACTCCTACTCCTTATATCACCTATTTTCCAGTTAAGTAAAGTAAAGTAAAGTTACAGCCTATATACGTCCCACTGCTGGGCTCAGGCCTCCCCCTCATTTCTGAGAGGGTTTAGGGCAAGGAAGTGTCCGCCGCGCTGCCCAAATGCGTGTTGACGAACTTCACATGTCTTCGAAATATTTTTTTTCTTATTACTCAGACATGCAGGTTTCCTCACGATGTTTTCCTTCACCGCCGAGCACGTGGTAAATCAGCACTTAAAATTGTAATTAACAATTTCATTGGTGCCGGCGGGGATCGAACCCGGGTTACTCGCATTCCGTTACATTTACAGCGAGCGTTAACCACTGAGCTACCACGGCTTTCCAGTTAAAGTTCTGTCAAATAGGTGGCAGCGTAGCTGGAATAAACAGACAGACAGACAATTTTTTTAATATTATTTTGTTTTGATATAAGTATTGTTATACTTTCATATACATTTAGCTGTTTTGACATTACTAACAGACACTTCAATTTTATTTATTTATATAAATTACATCTAAACCCGTCTATAAACTAATTGATAGAATCAGGCGTTACTTTGCGGAAATCCATTATAATAAAAAATAAAAATATAAATTTCTTTGCAACTTTCCGCTAAACATATAAAATGATGTGTCTTACCTGGAATGAAGCGCACCTCCCGCCCTCCCTCAATTGCATACACTAACTCCGTCACCACTATACCAAGCACCACTACTCTCAACACCACTATTCCAGGCAAGACACACCATCGACGATAATACGACACGTGTTTCGCCTCTACACGAGGCATCATCAGGTAATATAGACTCTACGGCGGCTGACCGCTAAGGCGGTCAGCCGCCGTAGAGTCTATTTGGTCTATTTGGTATATTGAGGGAGGGCGGGAGGTGCGCTTCATTCCAGGTAAGACATCATTTTATATGTTTAGCGGAAAGTTGCAAAGAAATTTATATTTTTATTTTTTTTACCGTCTATAAACCTTGTGTAAGTTCATACTCAATGTATGATTAGGAAATGTTTCTGAATGCTGAATAAAAAAACTGATTTCATTGAACTAAGTTGGTCATCTGCTGCAGTTGGTGTATGCACTGATGACCTTCTGTCTAAAGCTTAGACCATTCAACCGTATGGACTCGCCTCGTATTATTTCCCTCTGCGCAGGTATTGGATTTAAAAATCTTGTGCTTTTATAAAAACTGTTTACAGAATCGATTTTATCATTACAAGAATCGTTTTCTTCGTTGTAAGTGTTCTTTAAAAATGCCGACGTGTGCAAAAAGAAGTTTAAAAAGATGAAGTTACATTCCATATGTAAGTATTTTTAATGCTTTCTTTTTATTATAAACATTTAAAATAATATCATAACTAATAATCGAGAACAGGGATAAGATAATCGAGTACAAAATATTTCATAAAAATCGTAGTGATAATCGAAATGTGAGATACGGACTCCCCCCAAAATTAGTTATATTTTATTTTAAAGTCAACCCTTAGCTGTTGCAAATTAGGTTTAAAATTGAACACGCAAGCCCAATGGCACTCCTTTAAAAATAAACAAAAATGTGTTTTTATTTTATTATAAATATGAAATCTCTGCTTTCAGCAAGGTATATTCCCAAATCCACTAAAAAAATCTTTAATTACTCCAGTGTACAAGAATGGAGATCGAGGTGATGTTGGTAATTACAGGCCAATATCAATTCTCCCTGTGATTTCAAAAATAATAGAGAAACTTACAAATACTAGACTCATAAATTATCTTAACAAATATAAACTTCTATCTTCAGGCAAGGTAAATCCACAGAGGATGCAGTAGCTACTCAAGTCAAATTGTAACTGAACAGTTGGACAAGGGAAATAAGTGCTTATCAGTGTTCCTGAACCTAAAAAACGCCTTCGACACAGTTTCTATCCCTATTATTGTACATAAACTGGAAAGACTTGGTATAAGAGCCAATGCACCGTCTCTTTATATGAGTTATCTCTCGGATCGAACTCACATAGTGAAGCTCAATACATTCATGAGTGATGACGTCACGGTATCACACGGCGTGCCGCAAAGTAGTATATTGAGCCCTACACTTTTTCTAGTCTATATAAACGATCTTTGTTGTCTGCAAATCGATAAAGCCCATATTCTCTCCTATGCCGACGACACTGCTGTTATTTTCACTGGAAGAGATTGGAGTGATGTTAAGGAAAAAGCGGAGTCATCGGAGGCAACAGCTCATACTTAAGTATGACTTAGTTGCTGGCTGGTTTAAGGATAATCCTCTTACCTTAAATACAGACAAGACGAACTTTATTTGCTACAGTGTCCGTGACCAATCACAACCTAATCTTGATTTTGAAATCAAAATACACTCCTGCAATTCCTATCCAACTGTGTTTGTCTCGTTATTAAAAAAAAAAAACGACAAAACTAAGTATCTGGGGGTGATAGTTGACCAATGGTTATCCTGGCATCCACATCTTGAATAAGTAACAAAAAAATCTTAAGATATGTGGTGCCGGGTGAGAAATCAGGTAGCTAGTACTCTCATAGAAACATACTCAAGGAGATCTATATGGCGTTAGCACAGTCCCTACTAACTTACTGCATCCCAATCTGGAGAGGGACGGGTAAAACCAAAATGTTGGAGGTAGAATGTACACAATGTGCTCTTTTGTAAGTAAGCACTTCAAAAAAAGGAGGTTTCCAACTGATAAACTTTACTCCATCAGTAAAGTATTATCAGTGAGAAAGCTGTATGTTCTACTCACTGTATTAAAAAACATAAAACCTTAACCTACGATGACAGCATTAAACAAAAAAAGACGATAAGCTGACGTTGCATTAAAGAAATTTAAAACTGCATTTGCTAATGTTTTCTTATATTTATGCGAACACTACACATTGATTAAAACTACTTTTACGGATTTTATCGCGTTTATTTTACTATTATTTTTAATTCCCAACGTTTCGGGCGCTTTCCAGCACCCATGGTCATGGTCATCTAAGTCCCCCGTAACCATGGGTGCTGGAAAGCGCCCGAAACGTTGGGAATTAAAAATAATAGTAAAATAAACGCGATAAAATCCGTAAAAGTAGTTTTAATCACTGCATTTGCTAGTAAACAATACTCAAGCCTCTCCGTTTTACTATATAACAAATTAAACAAAGAACTAGAGATCTACAGCAAAACAAAAAAAGGAATGTAAGAAATTGAATAAAATTTTTTTAACTCCCTTAAATTATGAGGAAATAGAGACATTATTACAATACAGATACTAAATGAACACATACACATACATACACCCACCCCCTACTCATACAACATGCACAAATTTATAAACCACACCACATACTACAACTACTAAATACACATACTTATATATATATATATATATATATATATATATATATATATATATATATATAGTAACACTACCCTAATATATTATATTATTGATGTATTAATGCTTTGAGACTGATGGTAGGATACTAAGGTCATGTTTTTATTATCTTTATTATTTACTTTAGAATATTTTATTTCGTTAATAATATTGTAATTCTTAGCTATGGAAGAGCGAAGTCACCTGTTACAGGCATTATTTTGCTTACTAGGTGACTTTGATCACTGATCATATAATGTAACATTAATGTTTGATGAAACAAATGATTTATTTATTATTATAATTATTAGAAACATGTAACATTAGTTAATGTTTAGTCATATTTAATAAACAAAAACCATTTATACATCCTTTTTTATTAAAATTATAATATATAAAAAAAAGACTTTTACACATTAATATATGAAAATACCACATTAATTTCAAAGTTAGATCACAAATTAGTTTACAAATTTTTTTCTATTCATTTGGTTCCAGAAATAACAAAATTGAGATTATTTTACAGTGGTTTACTATTTCACACCACTGTAGTGTTTAATTGAAAGTAGTGTCATATTGATGTGTAATGTGACTGTGATGTGCGGATCGATATCCATAGTAATTTAAATTTTTCATTATTATTCATTGAAGAAGCATTAAATTTATCATCAAACACTCAACTAAAGAACATTACCTATTATTATAACATAAGTGTAAATGAACAATTTTTGTCCCTAGATTAAATAAATTCAACCAAGAAATTTAAATTACTACTAAAACTTCCTTCAATTATTATATTTAAAATATATTTACTTATTTTACTTGTTATCTAAAAGATGCCGTGACTTTTTCCACGTGGATTAAGGAAAATTAAAAAGATCCTATAAACTTTTTAATTTTCCAGGACAAATGTATTTATTTAATGATTTCTTAAATTTACGCGAACACTACACATTGAATAAAACTATTATTTACGGATTTTATCGCGTTTAATTACTTTAATTTTTTTTTTTTTTTTTATTTTTTTATTTTTTTTTTTTTTTTTTTTTTATTAATATCCCGACGTTTCGGGTGCTTTACAGCGCCCATGGTCACGGGGGGACTGAGATGTTTGACGTCCCAATGTCATAGTTAGTCCGGCTACCTTCAGTTTTTTAATATTAATTTTTGGTCCGATTTACGCAAAACGAGCTTATAGTATCATGAAGTCTTGCAGTGGTATGCTTGGGTTTGGGTTTAATTTTGTTGATTATAGGATCCCAAGCAGATGGTAGCACCCAACCATCTTCTCTATTGAAATTTGGATGTTTTTTAATTTCAATAGCCTCGCGTATCATCCTTGGTAGGAATCGGTGTTCTTTTGCGAGAATTTGTGGTTTATCAAATCTAATGTAATGGTGGGGACGATCTTGAACATGTTCGCAGAAGTCTGCAGTCTGCGAACATGTTCAAGATCGTCCCCACCATTACATTAGATTTGATAAACCACAAATTCTCGCAAAAGAACACCGATTCCTACCAAGGATGATACGCGAGGCTATTGAAATTAAAAAAACATCCAAATTTCAATAGAGAAGATGGTTGGGTGCTACCATCTGCTTGGGATCCTATAATCAACAAAATTAAACCCAAACCCAAGCATACCACTGCAAGACTTCATGATACTATAAGCTCGTTTTGCGTAAATCGGACCAAAAATTAATATTAAAAAACTGAAGGTAGCCGGACTAACTATGACATTGGGACGTCAAACATCTCAGTCCCCCCGTGACCATGGGCGCTGTAAAGCACCCGAAACGTCGGGATATTAATAAAAATAAATTAATGTATTTATTTATTTTTATTTATTTAACAGTTTATGTACACACATACTTTGATAGGAAAATGGTAAAAACAAAAATATGTACAAAGGCACTGCTTATTCCATAAAGAAATTTCTTCCAGCAGGCCTATTGAAGGATTGTAGCTTGTGTTAATTCAGAATATCCAAATCTGTTCAGTTGTTGTGGCGTGAAGGAGTAACAAACATCTTGAATCTGTTTGAATGCAATTAGGCATATTTATACACTGGATTAAGCATTAGAATTAGCTTTATTCCGAAAAACTTTAGTACAGAAACCATTAAGCATTTATACTTTATACTTATGTATTCTCATAATCGTTTTACTTTTACAGATTTCCAAAAGACCCTCTCTAAAAAATGTGGGCACAATTATGCAATCGAAAAAGGGGTTGGGTACCTACCCACACAGGTAGTCTGTTTGATGCACTTTGATTCATCCCAATTTCTGTTTGCCTAGTAAATGTCGTAAATTAGTCCGTAATTCTTTACCAACATTACTATTAAGAGATTTTGGGAATAAAGTTTGGGATTTCTTTTTGAGGCAACCCATGGGATTTTATAGGTCTGGAGTAGGCACATAATTTCCTCAACAGGATATTATTTTTCTTTCCAGGAGGTCGAGTCTGTAGAGAGCTATAAATCTCAGGAACCAGGTCCTTCTAGTTCTACTCCATCATTAATCACGCAAGCAATATAATATACGCAATACCTGTCTCTTTAAAAGTGTGCTTTCTTCAATTCATATCTTTTCTAGGACCTGTTAGTTTTATTTATTTATCAAAAAAGTCTCTGTCAGCAAATCTAGTACTTATTTAAACTTGTAACTTTTTTCTTTGGATACCATTTTAAAATGGACAATGTTGTCACTAAGATCAACCTAAAATAAATATTTTTTTTTATTTTCATTTATAATTTTATTATTATTGTTATTTTTATTGTAATAATATAAATGTCGATTTTAAAACTATTTTTTTTTTGTTATGATGGCTTGTTATTTAAAACATAAGTTCCTGCACTTTTTGTTTTTGGTACTTGGAGCTTTTTATTTCTGGTATTCATGTTTAACCATGCCAAATTACAGCTTTTTAGAATACCAATAGTCTCTGTACTAAGCCGCGGACAAAATGACAGACTGTTGAGCTTGTCGAAACTATAAGGTTACCTTATTGTGTTACTACGAAACCCTTGTTCGAGTTCATTTTGCTAATGCTTGTGAGTTTTTCTCTTTTTCTAAGGGAAACTATCGATATAGTAGCATCACAATTGGTTTGTCCGTCTTACACTCATAACTTTTTCTATGTTAATGTATTTAACCTACATGTGTGCATAAAATGTAATAGTGTTGGAGATTTAGATTTGTGTGTGCTATAATGACACAAAATTTTATTGAGTAGTGTATGTGCAGTGCTGTCTATGTAGTGTTTCCTCCCCCCGTACCTAGCATTCCTAGTATTTTATTAAATAATAAAAAAAATAAGATCATCACATTCCTTGTCTGACCAGGATCATACTTTTCCCTATCACAAAATAGAAAATAATACAATCCTCTCATTAAATATACAAAAACTGAATAACTGATAGAATAAAATCAATAATTATATAATCAAGAATTGTACAAACTGTTTGAAGATCTACTAGAATTACAGACCAAATACAACGAATAGTATTGTTAAAGCAAACTAATAATAATTATGTTCATCAGACAGAATTTAGGTCAGGGCGGCTAGTCTCAATAGAGACAATCTTTTTTTTTTCATAGCATTGGTGAAGTCTACCCGATGGCAAGTGGATTTTATCCTCAATTAAGAATCAAAATGAAAATGCATTGTAACCCCTAAGGACTAAGATGGAATGCCTCGATTCCAGTTAAAAGGGTCTTCGGTTCTCTACAGTCACCATATGAAACACAGCCGCATTACGGTGCTATTTTATGCTGGTATTCTATGAGAGTGTGATCCTTCCCCGGTCTAGCCGACCCATTAGTGCTACAACTATAATATAGATGCAGTGTAGCTCTACCAATCTACACAGGATAGGATTATAATGCATGATGTGTGTGTGTGTGTGTGCATGCATGCGTGCGTGTGTGTATGTGTGTGTGTGTGTGTGTGTGCACAAACACAGGTCCACTCACCATACCTTTACTCTCATAGCACGATGGGACGGTAATCCTACACAAATATAGAAAAATCAGTTACAGACTAATAGCGATACATGCTGTCCAAGGCATGGAGATGAAACACTTCCAGATTTCTGACCCTGGGCTGACCCTGAGCATTTCTTGAAAGTATAATCCAATAACTGACACTGAGACTGACAGAGCAAACTATTACACTGACTAGGCACAAGACTGTACTGTCTCTGAAGTTTTGGAACTGATATTTTTATAGCTTTTGAAAAATCATATATGTAGGTAACAATCCAAGATCAGTATTAAATATGCTGATTAATTCTGGAAATCAATAAAGTATCATTATGGAGATTTTATCACATTTATTTATTATTACATATTACTGACATATATTTATAAATTATACCGGTTCCCTTTAGAAATGTTTGTTCACAGGTATGACAACAATATAGTAATTAATCAACGTGCTTGAGCATGGAAGGAAGCCTTGGTGCTAATACAAGCAATCAATTAATGGCAGCTTATTCAAGGCTCTCCAGAGATTAAACAAGCCACAGATTAGGATAGCAACAAGTGCTATTATTTGAAATGGTTCTTTTAACAAAAATTTATTTATCTTTAAGTGTGAGAGAGGAAGAAACAGCAGCCCAACATAATAATAGTTGTGTCCTAAAGTTGCCACATACAAGGCTAAACATTTCAGTACAATGAGGTCACAGGCAACATCAAAACATCTTCAAGATTTCATGGCTAGAATAATTATAATATTCTTGCCCACATGCAAAATATGTGCTTAGACATAGACTTGCAATAAACAGCCCCATTTTAAAGTAAAGTAAGCTAATTATAAGATTCCAGGTAGGTCCAAGCATGGTAGCCCAGCTATCTTATATAATAAAGAAAGGATGATTTTGATTTCAATTGTGTCACAAATTATTATTAGTGATACTGTTTACAGAATATAGAATTTGATTTATAAAATTAATTTAACATCAAATCAATGTAGATAAATTTTACCATATTCCGATGTTTTACTCAGAACATTGGCTAATAGCTATTAGAACGGCTCTTTTAGTACAAGCAGTGATGATAATATGCAGATATAATTGCTTAAAAATGAACATTCTTAAAAGTAAAGTATTTCAAAGAACTAAAGAATAAAATAATTTCTCATTTTGTATTTGGTGCTATATGGTTTTTTTTATAGAAGAGGGGGCAAACGAACGTACGGTTCACCTAATGTTAAGTGAATACCGCCGTCTGTGATTAACTGCAACACCAGGGGAATTGCAGGTGCGTTGCCGGCCCTTTAGAAAGGAGTAAGATCATTTCTTGAAGGCACCCAGGCTGTATTGGTCTGGAATAATCACTGGTGGTAAATTATTCCACAGAGGTTGTATGCGGAAGAACTCCTAGTGAATTGAACAGGTGGACCGCTAAGCATCCAGATGGTGTGGATGGTATCGGGAGGTTTGCCGCATAGTTTGTTCATGAAATTTAGTGGCTGGGATTAATCCAAACAGTTCATCAGAGCACTCCCAGTAATAGATGCGATAAAATATGCAAAGAGATGCAACATCTCTTCGCAGCGCCAGTGAATCGAGCCAATCGGAAAGCACTCGGTTATCAATGATTCCAGCCACTCTGCTCTGGATGCGGTCAAGTGGAAGGAGCTGAAACGGGGGAGCCCCAGCCCTACAGTATTTCATGTGCGGCCCAACCCGCGCCTTGTAAAGTTGCAGGCAGTGTGCCGGAATGAAATACTTGTGTATAGAAGAAAGAAAGCCCCGACTTCAGAATATGAAATTATAAATCAAATCAATCTCAATGTCGTCTAAACATCATCATTATGAATTTAGTTTACGTTTGATGATACTGCTAAATATTCATAAAATAAAGAAAACACATGATCAAAAAGTAACCAATATCCTATTTTCGAAATAGGCTAAAAAATCACTGTACTTGATAGAAATTTATGATAATAGCAACTTACCTTTGATGTCAAGTAACCATTAATTACTTTACCAATTTCAGTGCTCCTATCTGGAAAGTTCGTGTATTCAGCTTGTATTTGTTTATTCTTTAAGCTTTCAACTATAAAACAAAACGAATAATTTACAAAAAAACATAATTCATTTTAATTTAGTAGCAAAAGAAATGTTTAAATACCTAAGCGTTTACTTTGTGTTGATTTACCAGTTCTATCAACACCCTCGATAACTATTAAAGCTCCTCGTTTAAGTGTCATCATAAAAATTATTAATTATGATTGTAAAAACAACTCTTTAACAGCGGTATTTAGTATTTGTATTTACAGATTTTGATTAAAAACAATATTTGACCATGTTTTTGACTTTTTGACTTTGATTTTTTGGCGGCAACACCATTATCAATGTCAAAGAATTTTTTTTATTAACTGGCTTTACGGCTCTGGGCTCTAGCCCTTCTGAGCCTCTCATTTCTTTCGGAATCTTCATTTTTAAATTCTTTTTCTTCACAATATGTTGATGCGTCACATTGCGAAGCCCTTGGGAGATTTTGACGACAGCTCAACCCAGCGGACAGTTGATGACGACAGCTACTCAAGTTCATAAGGCGCCCAAGCGATCAAAATAACTTGAGGTTTATATCGACATCAAAGCACTTGTTTCGTCATATTCTCTAATATTTCACACGCGCGGAATCTTAATTCAGAAAATCGCATCACTTTTACAAATCAAAATCCACTTCAAACCATTATTCAAGCGACAAAACTGGAACGACAAACCGTCTACGGTCAAGTTCCCGCAAAAAAACAAAGTCAAAGTAATGTCAAAGAATTTTACTCACTACCAAAGAGTATATAATCACTACGTTAATAGAATTGTAATCATGCGATCATGGACCTAGAAAAAAGGGCATGCGATGTAATCTTCTAAACGAATCAAAACGAATATTTTCTTTGAACTTAAAGTAAAAAATCATACTAAAATAAAAAGCTGCGATTACCCAGTTGTTAAGTCTGGGATTAACAGGTGGGTTTGTAATCGCAGCTTTTTTGTTTTGCCATATCTAATGCCAGCATTAGATATGACAAACATTTCTCTATGAACAACGAATAGAAACGACTTTCAGATTTCAGCTAGTATCTAAAAGATTGTAATACTGTTTACGATATAAAAACTAATTCGTAGACATAACCGGTCACAGAATAATAAAAAAGAAAAAACTGGTAAACTCCGATCACATTCTTAATCTCAAAAATGTTAGATGGGAAATGCAGCTGCAGTCTTCAGTAGATTAGACAGCATACAGGCAACTAGATATACAGATCTCTTATCAGATTCAGATCTCAAAGTGTCTCTGTGTGTGTGTGTGTGTGTGTGTGATCTCAAAAAATACATGTGATGAGACTTACGCTACCTCAATACATCCCTTATTGAAGAAATTATTGAGCAATCACGGCTCCAATTTTTTTATTTCAACTATAGATTGATTTAGTGCCTAATCCATGTTAATGTGCTTGTTTCGAGAGTACTCTACGAACTTAACTTGCACTCTCACTCGAAAATGTCGGTTTTCCTTCAGCAAAATGTAAAGACTTTAAAAGCCTACGATTACTTTCCGAGATCTGAACCAAACCTATCCAACTGCAGGGAAGTGTCCTCAATAGTGTTTCCTAACGGGTGGGTCTTATATTATGATGAAAACGGACAAGGCAAAGGTAAAAGGCAAAATAACAGCCATGTCACACCTATGCCGGTAGTTGTTGGGGGCACTACGTTCGAAATGGCTGGTTAGTATGCTTGCCTAAGAAAAATTGTCCAACTAGGTAAGATCAGCTTCGACCGGTCAAACTAAGGATGCAATTTGGCTGAGCAATGTTCGGAAGATTACGGAAATAAATAATGGGGGGGGGAGGAAGGCTCTGAGAGGCAGCCATGTTACGAACGTAATGTAATAATGTAAGCGAAATGTATAGTATCCCATTAAAAATATATAATTTGGCTTGTTGAAGCACAGCATGACCAAGAACAGCGAATTTTTACGTTAGGAAAATCAAAAAACATCTAAATATTTTAATTTAATTTGCCCCACAGCCATTACTTTTTTTATAACTTTAAAAGATCTATTGTTACTACTCCTGGGTCTATACTAGGGTGGAGCACGGTTGTAGTTTTTTTTTATATTTAAAATTCTAATAGCGCGGGATTAGTGCCTTATGTTTAAAGTCAATTGACGTGTTTTTTTCAGCTCAATTGAATAACATCTTTTGCCTCCGCAGGGGCCTCAAAGTTAATGTTTTATCGAAAAAATTAAGTACGTTTGGACTAAGATAAAAATAATAAATACGAGTTAACTAGAGATTGTAAATGAAACTCATTATTAATATAATCAATCACATGTTTTTAACAATTCATCAATTTGCCTTAAAATCTCTTTTCGTCCCGAATTTATGCAATTTTTAAAGGAATTTCAGTTTGGCTTTTATCGTGATGAATCCTTACATTGAGAATTGGCCGCTTCTGTCGTCAACTTCACAGCTTGCTCAACAGCCTGGATATGACATGGGAGGCGTAAAAACAAAAGTTCACCCTCACGTATGTGTTTCAAGATCGGCGGTTCAGTAATGGTGTGTTGCCAATTTATCTCATCAATGTAGGTTGTTGGGCTGAAATTAAAATCAGGCATCTTGAATAGTCTTGGTGCAGGGGATCGCCGTATATTGCGTGCTTTTAATATACGCCAGCCTGACAATTCACGAACGTGCTTTTTATTATCTGTAATCATTGCAAGTAGTAAATGCTCAGGAAGTGCGAAGTAGCTATTGTGTTGAATGACGAGGTCGATCACTCATTACAAGGATTGTGGCAGGCTAATATAATTTTAAATAGATGTCGAGCTCCATCTTTACGTGATGGTTTCTTCTTAATCGATAAGTCGAGAACCAAGCTGGGTAAAATTTTACGAAAAATGTAGCCGGAAGAATCAAATTTTCTGATGGTTTCTCTTTTGCTACATACAAACATGGGATCGATTAGCACGTGTGAGCCAACGAACATGAGATTGTGTACCTGGAGACCTGTTTGCTAGATCTTCTGGAAAAAAACTTGATTGTACCGCAGAGACGATCTCGTGCAAGTGCTTTTGATCTGTGCTCAAATCCGGGGCCATTTCTTAGAGTGATTCTACTTCGAAAGGGTGGAATTTTTTATCGGAATTTGTTCACAAATTTCCAGTATCTTTCCCAACTGACCAGTGTAAGACTTGGGTCCCGAAGTGCCTCCGCCAATATGTAAAAACAATTGCCTTAATGGCAGCCCGTTCATATGCAGTAAACAATCGAAATAGAAACCTACCTGGCAAAGAAGAATTGAAAGCAGAATAGGAAAATATAGATTAGAAATTGGAAGATTAACACAATACATAATAGGAAATAGAAATCAGAGAATATTAAAGACTGTAGAAGAAATAAAGAGGAAATATAAAACACACTCTCAACATGAAGAATCTAACACGGAGCCACAACATTTTCTCGATACACTCAAGCAAAAATTAAACGCGCTCTCAAATAGATTGAGAAGATATTTAACATGTACTAAACGTAAACAACAAAATGCAAACTTTTTAAATAATGAAAAACAGTTCTACAAAACTTTAGGGCACGAACACCATATTAATACTACACGTCCTGCTCAATTCCCATCACCACAACACTTACAACAATTTTGGGCAGGCCTATGGGAAAACCCAGTAGCACATAATAGTAAGGTTGAGTGGTTAGAAAAAAAGAGCAAACATACCAAATATTAAACAAATGGATTTTGAAAACATCACAGTAGAAACATTCATTCAAATAATCAAACGCACACAAAATTGGAAAGCAGTGGGTACCGATAATATACATAATTACTGGTACAAAAAGCTCACATGTACATATCCATTTATCCACAATCATATTTGTCAATTCATACATTCACCACATAATATGCCAACATTCATAACAAGCGGTCTAACTTACAAACTACGAAAGGCTCAGATCCAAAAGACCCAGCAAATTACAGACCTATAACATGCCTACAAACGATATACAAGATTATTACCCATGGACGAACATATCACATATAAATACTTAGGGTTCCATCAGTCCAAACAGATACATCAAAAACAAGCAAAAATAGACTTAACTAAAAAATTTAAAATTAGAATAAACCAAATATTAAGAACTCAGCTAAATTCACGCAATATTATAAAAGCCATAAATACCTGCGCGATACCCATTCTCATCTATTCTTTTGGAATAATAAATTGGTCTCAGAGTGATTTAGTTAAACTTCAACGCACAATTAATACACATATGACAGTAAACAGAAAACACCACCCCAGATCATGTACACAGCGTCTCACATTTCCACGCCAAGAAGAGGGAGAGGCATCATCGATATACAAAATTTACACAACAATCTAATAGACAAATTTCGCAAATATTTCTATGTAAAATCTGAACATTCGCAACTGCCAACTGCACAAATATATTGTAGGTATAGACAAAACACTAACTCCTCTTAATCTAAATGACAGAAATTTTCAGCTCCAGATAGTAAGTAAACAGCAGAAAATAGATTTGTGGTCACAAAAGTATCTGCATGGTGGGCACCTTGCAGATGTCGGTCAAGCACATGTTGACAGGCAAGCGTCAAACGAGTGGCTCCGACGCGGAGAACTCTTCCCAGAGACGGAAGCTTTTTTAATTGCTATTCAGGACCAAGTAATAGATACTCGTAACTATCAAAAACACATTATTCATATTCCAAGCCCTCCAACTGACTTATGTAGAAGATGTCACAGTAGCTCAAAAACAATTCAACATATTACAGGTGCATGTAAATCTATAGTCCAAACTGACTATAAACATAGACATGACCAAGTTGCTGCAATTGTCCACCAAAACCTGGCCCACAAACATTCATTCATTCTAAAAAAGGTCGCCTATTATAAATATATTCCCAGCACTATTTTAGAAAGTAATTCCGTCAAAATATATTGGGACAGGACAATTATAACAGACAAGACTATACATTACAATAGACCGGACATAACAATACTAGACAAAATGAAAAAATCTGTTTTTATAATAGACATAGCAGTTTGCAACACACACAACCTCATTACTACACATTCGGAAAAAATTACAAAGTATGTAGACCTGGCTATCGAAATAAAAAGGCAATGGCAAGTAGATTTCGTAAAAATAGTTCCTATCATCAT